CTGACAGATGAATTCATAATCAATAGCTGGCCGAGCCTTGTTTACATAAGCTCCGGACGCATGTGCATTTGCGTTATTCGATTAGTATGTTTATGAATGTTTGATATTTTGACAGACATATGGGTCCGTTGGTGTCTGCGCAACACATTGTTATTACTGAAATATTTTGGTGAAAATAGGTACAAGAAATCAAATACGACCACCACTGCATTGGACAGTTCATGGTGTGCAATCCTTAGATGCCCACTGGTTGTCCCTGACTTTGGCGAAGACCGGCAAACTGTCCAATATTCAGTGATCCGACTGCCAGATGACTTGGTAAGGGCCAAGTGACAATTCATTGGCTCCGCAATTCTCCTAAGGCCATCGTTTCATGAGCTATGCTCTGCGATCCCAACGTTCAGAAACACTGGTTAGCCAGTAACTTTGAATAATTTGTGTCATCAGCGGCAATCATGACTGGATTTAGGAGCAAGGAAAAGACTTCAAAACGTTTCATGAAACACTTGTACATATCGTATGCCTTATATGGCTCCGTTATACATCTATACGGAGTTAGTTTATCCGATAATAATTTAGTACTGAGTATAAATTGAACAATGTGACTAAAAATTATCTTTTATCACATACCTGTATAATTCTGAATCTGTTCAAATAATATTTGGCTAGAAGTACTCATTTTGTATATATAACCTGTTACAATATCAACCTAATGACGTCACGCGGTATTTATCAGGAAGTCTTTTGCACAACAATTCCTATACTCATGAACGTGAGATAAAATAATATGCATCATTCAGTGGTTTTATTATCATATTATGCGATGAAGTCTGTTTAGTTAAAAAAACAAATAAAATCCGACTGAATCGATTTCATAAATACCCACGTCGTGAATAATGATTTTACTTTGTATCATTCCACTTTTACAATGTAGGTAAAAATAGAATTGTTTTTCAGCGATGGGCGATTTCATCACTCGTTTCAGTAAATAATTACGAGCAACATGAAATGATAATAATAATTTATTCTCAAATATGTAGTTGACTACACAAAGAGCACACACACTAACTTTTGCAGTTTTAGTAAAAACATGTTCTTAATAAGCTTAACATTGCTGATAACGTAATTTCTAGATACTGATGTACTTTTGTGCATTGGCACTCAAGCGTATGTGCAAAGATGCATGTGGTTATCTGGAAGAGATAATGAGGAGGCACGTACGAGTTTTAGTGAAGAGGACGATCCAAGAAGCCAAAGTTCTTTTGCTCATGCTGAACTGTTATGACCTTGAATCGCTTTTACCTCGTTGATACTTTGTTATGACCCGACCTTGATCTGTCTAGTTTAGATTATGACCTTGGAGCAATAGGCTGAGCGATTTAACCTCGAGTCTAGTAAGCGTGAGTTCGAGATGGGGCGGAGAGAAAGCTATTCTAGAACCTGATTGGCTGGCAAGCACGCAAATAAGAGAAAACAAGACAGTTGGAACACTCTGAATCCTGAATTCGGATTAGTGCAAAAACGTACATGAATAAATAAGTGAATATCCTGACCACAACGTACGATAAGTTGGGAAAATACAATTATGTCCAAAATTAGAAATTAGAGTAGAAAGTAAGGTGCAAAATATCATGTTTAAATTACAATAGTTTCGGAATAAAAAAGGGTATGGCAGTGAATGATACATCGAACGAAAGCTCATGTTTTGTAGAATAAAATAGGGGCAAAAATAAATATAAGTGTTTTACAAGGTTTGAATAAAATGAAATAACGTCCAAAGAAATAGCTTTCGTAGTTTGTCTGGGCTTCTTATTTCCCTGTTCACAACATGAACTATGTCTGTCTGCATAGTATACGAAGACTTTTCGAGTTACTAGTAACAAATGACATTAAAAGGTGAACTTTGAACCTTAGTTTGGGGGTTCTAATCCAAAAAAACAAGAACAAACAATATCAAAAATAGAAAATAACCCAATAATACGCAGCAAAACAAGTCGCCATACGGTAACTAATGAATAATTAGTGACCATCACGTACCTGATAAACAATTAGTTTACTCCTGACAAAATGGAATTTATCTGCAAGGATCCAAATAATCATTTTCAACAGGCAAAGTAGAACAATCATCAAAAGCTCCATACCCCAACCTCGAGCTCACTCAAACAGGACATTATTATCAATGGTCTTGGACTATAAAATAAAAAGTTCATAAACATTAATATAAACGAGCGTCAGGTAGTGAACTTCTAGTCAAAGAAGATTGTGCAATACAAAAGTGCTATACCGTAGAGAGCTTCAGTCACTGGAATAATTTCCTGTATGGACATAGCGTTAGCAGTTACGCACAGATCGAGTCGAATAATCAAGACACGATAACTCGGTAACCACACGGCACTGATCAAACCAAAAGTACGTGTAAAAGGTACGAATATGAAATATCTGAACAATTCCCAATTAGGTCTATATAGTCAATAGACACAAATATATATCAGTTTACCTCGCTTCACAGGCGAGTAGTGAACTATTTGACAATGGTTATTTCGTAATTCAAGAATCATGGAGAAGTCTACGTGTCAGACTGCTCAGAAGCTGAGTAATCAAAACCTTCAGTAACGGTACGTGTCTCTAAAAATTGGAAAACCAACAGCATGTCCCTCCTGAAAATATAATAAGATACTCATGCTATTATTTTTCTTATCTTGTAAATCAGAGTATTAACGTGGAAGATTTGAAAAGATTACTGTTTCCATGACCAACTAATCGTCTGCTGATCGCCGGTACTCCCATCTAATTCAAAATGAATGAAAATATTTCAGCAAGTTGTTGAAGCTAAATCTTTTACACCTTCAAATGAAGGTTAGATAAGATAGACTTAAGTATTTCGCAAGTATTTGAACTGTGACCACGCCTTAATCAGTAACATCTGTAATCGATGTGTATCAACCCAGTGAAATCAGAAGTCAGAAGCTCAGGGGTTCGAAGATATATTTGACAGGCTATCGATATGTCGAGTAGGGACTGATCTAAGCTGGCTAACGGTTGTAGAGGAAGTGAAGTACAGCGTGTCAACTCGTGATCTGGTTCGGATGTGTGACCGAGAGCATTCAGCTTGGTGAGTCAACTAAAACTAATGCTGTCAGCACCAAGCGTCGAAAGCTTACAGAGCTACTGATTTAGGGGATTTGTTTACCATTACAGACTTCTATCACCATGGATGCCAAAAGGCATCGAGGCGCCTTTCCCTACGAAAAAGGAAGTCAAAACAGAGTGTCTAAGAGAACAACATTCATTATAGCTTGAGTAGATGACGAAAATGGCCTACAGTCCACTGACGGCTTGTGATCTTAACCAGTAGGTCGGTTAACTCTGACCGATAAGTCCAACTAAATTGTAAATCAATAATTTGACTTAATCGCACCAGTAAAAGTAGATATCTTTGAGATGCTTGACAAATAAATATTTATTCACGGGTTACCATCTACTACTCCTATCATCTGTGACTAATGCATGTTTCGTAAGTTACCGGTTATCATTATTATCTTTCACTAACTACCTTCTAATTCGCTGATTATCATCTCTTTTTCCCTCTTATCCAGTTCCGACTTCTCACACTTACTGTGTTACCAATCAGTTGACTTACTTGTTATTCTTGAAATAATCGTTTTCTCTTAGCACTTGAGTTGTCACTTTATTATTTTAACACAACAACCAAACAAAATCCTAAACAGTAATGTGATAAATGTCTGATATTCAGAAACCCTACTACACAGAGACAAACACACCCACTCAAGCTACCAGATGTACGAAACTACAAATAACTATCGAACTAGTTAAACTACCGCCCACCAAACATTATGAAATACCTGAGATGGTACTGAGATAACGAGAAGCGAATGCGAAAAATTGTCGGTGTATACAAGTTTGTGATGAAGATATTGAGTTTATTTTTTAGTCAAATGATGGACTTCACCGGCGGCTGAGCTAGTCCATGCGAATTCCCTGGAGTCCTTTAAGAGGAAACATGGCATATTCTTAAGGACTAAGGATAGTATCTTCAGTCTTCAGTAATAAGATAGTAGGTTGATGAACCTGTATTAATCCTGACACATTGCTTTCCAGTGAACGTCCAGCTTCTCCTTGAATGTATTTACTGATGGAGCTGATACCACTTCTTCGGGTAAGGCGTTCCAATCATTGACTACTCGATGAGAAAAACGGGACCACACTTTAAGTTTATTAGATCTTGGTTTATGAACCTTCTTGCTATGACAGCGGAGATTATTAGTGCTGGAGGGAGCAAAAAGATAAGACATATTAACACCCAAATCATAATTAAAGATACGAAATGCCAGTATAAGGTCACCTCGTGTCCTACGATACGACAAGGGGAAAAGATTAAGGCGTTTTAAACGTTCATCGTAAGGGAGTCTAGAAAGACCCTTCACTAATTTCGTTCCCACACGCTGGAGACGCTCAAGGGAGTTAGTATCCTTTACCAGACACGGGCTAGCTGCTTGGATACAGTACTCTAAGTGTGGTCTTACATAGGTGGGATATAAAGTTCGAAACGTTTCCTCGTCAAAAGATTTGAACGCTCGGCGTAGTGACCATAACGCACGAAAACCTTTGACAGCGGCTGCTTTGCAATGAGTAGATGTTTTTAAATCATGACTTACTCCTCCTCCTAAGTCTTTGTGCTCTTGAACGCATGGAAGAGGTTTACCCTCAATAGTGTAACGGTAACTATAACCGTGACCGATGTGCATTAGCTCACTCTTCCTAGCACTGATTTCTAGGCTCCACTCTAGAGCCCGTCTAACTAAATCGTCTAAGTTAGCTTGAAGATCCAGATGATCAGCCGCACTTTTTATTGTTCTCCAGATTTTTACATCATCCGCAAACAATAATGTCGACGACCTAAGTAACAGTGCTAACTCATTATCGTAGAAAAGGAAGAGCAGAGGGCCTAAGATGGTGCCTTGGGGTACACCAGTTTTGACCGGCTTCCAATCGGATAGCGTTCCGTTGACCCTGACTCTCTGTCTGCGGTCACATAAGAAATTTCCTATCCACTCATGTGATTTATCAATTGCTTTTTCCACTTGTCGATAATACACCTAGGTTCCTGCCTGAAGGCATCGGTGATCCACTGCTACTAGATACGGAAGCCCGTTAAGCGAAGGTTTCTTCTATTCCATCCAAAACCATTTGAGGTTTGTCCGGAGCGGTTTTCGCACCTAGCGTTACGTACACATTTTATTTGTAATATCAAATTCCAGTAGTCTTATTTCACTGCTTCTAGATGATAATATGTCTACACGTAATCCATCCCCACCTCCAGATTATGACGGAAATGTCAAACAACTTGATATGATAGGTGACACAACTTACAGCAGACGTTGGCTTTTCTCGTTGTTAATTAAATTTCTGGAAAAGGTTAATAGTGAGACCTCTGCAACTTGGCTAAGTTCCGACGAAGATCCCTCTCGTAAGGAGTCAGAAACAGAACTGGAGGAACAGCTGTGCTGTCTGTGGGATCTAACTGTCAATCGTGATGTTCTGAAATTTCTCGACGAGTTTGAAATCGTCTCAATATTTAACAATGCTCTGGGGAGTGTTCAAAACCCCAGGTTACTGGTGAGATAGCACCTTTGTGCGAAAGCTTATTAGTAAAGGAAATTATAGTAGGAATTTTGGGAAATCTAGCTTATGATCCACTTGCCTGCCGTAAAATGAGTGAAAGTGAATCGTTTATGTACGTTTTTCTATTTATAACATTTGACTTAGAGTAGTGTCCGTGTAATAAACTTGCTTTACACAAGAGATACGCCTGCACTAATTGAAACATGCAGGTTAGTTTATGTTCTCTGTATTCATGTTCCTAAGATTAATTCAAACTGTGCTTGCTTCAGATGAATATAGAACACCTTGGTTAAATGAAATCCGATTTCAGCCAGAGTTTTTTGAAAATATGCTTTTTATTTTGAAAAGCTCAACCAATGGTATTCTTTCATGGATGTATTGTCTACACTCCTGATAGCCACACTTTTAATAGGTACAGTACGTCTCATTGACGTCATTACACGTGAAGATGACAGTTTAGCTGAGGTTTGGTGTGGTGAGCATCTGCTTACTGCTATATTAATAGCCCAGCACCAAATGAAGTAATTTCCCATTTCCCAATTAATTATTTTCGCACAGGTGGCTTTATGGCAGTGAAGTAGAAATCATTCATCGTCTACTTTATACATTTTCCTCTAATGTAAATGGTGTGTCAGCCCTAGGTTAGTTTCTTTATTTCGGTGAAAACTCATTAATAGTGTTCACTTTTAAAACTTGTATCTAACATGTTGGCATATATCTGTGTACATTGCAGAATGACGAGATTGTTGCATAGGCATGTAATATCTGTGGTGATGAGTAGTTCTCTTTCATCGGTAATTCATTCGAACAAATTTTTAAGTATTCTGTGCAAAACCTTAATACCGTCAGATGTCTGTTGACCACGATATAATTAGAGATAATTTGTGAACATTAAAGACTCGTCGATTGGATTGTGTTAGTCAGCTGTTTTTTTTGCTATCGATTCATTGCTCTAATATTTACATGATAGCCACAATAAACAAATACGCAGAAATTTGTTTGAGTTGATGGCTTAGTCGCTGATTCTAGGGATCCTATGCTTAAAAGATTTTTACGCCTCCTTAATATTATAGATCATATCAATGCTTTATCTTTAGATGTAATTTTTAGCTTAAACGGTATGATGAATTGTTATGATTAGCACTGTAGGTGTCTGAATTTAGTGACTAGTTTCCTAGACCTAAAGATGCAAGAGTACGACTATATTCTGGTGGATGAAGTGCAACCCTCAAGTAAATCTTAACTTGCATACATGTATATATTCCAGTACTTCATATCCACAAAAACGTCCTTGATTGTGTTGAGGAATTAATTCTTTATAACGTCTGATCTAGGACTGTAACTGTAGTGGTATGTAGTTTAGATTGCCAAATAAATTAGGCCTAAATACTCAACTCGTATTTAGAGCTTAGTTAAACTTGACTTTCGGTAGTTATAACATACTGTTAAAGAGCTCACATCACGTGTTCTTATGCTGTTTCTTTGTGATGTCGAAGAGTTAGAGGAAACGTGATAGGCAAAACAGAATCCTTCTTCACTCATAAGATTTGTCAAGTACTGTGAACCTGATCGATGTATACAGGAATATATTTACAAACATTCTGTTATAATAACTATGATTTTTTTTACCTAGTGTTATTATAATCAGCTAATTTCAAGTCATAAAATTCACTTCATTTGTATTGACGCGTTTGTTTTCGTAATTTGTTCTTTACTCCCGATTTCCTCCTACTTCCAACTAAAAGTTTATTTCTGGTTATCTATGCACGTGAAAATCGATTCTAACCATGGTTTGGAACTTGGTCTGTTGTGTGCATTTTAAAAGACATCCTCACGGAAGAGTTGTGAATTTTTTTAGCTTACATAAAGATGGTTTTTAATACCAGCATTTAAGGTTTTTCTTTCCTTTATGATCCTATCGTCAATAGTAAATTGAGAAAGTTTTAGGCGACACAGGAACCTGACGTAAGATGGATTCATCTCACTGTCCTCATATCTAATCCAAATTACTTGGTCCTAACCAAAAGGTACCGATGTTAGTAAGATGAAATCTTGAGATCTATTTCAGTAAACACATGAATGGAGATGTAGTCATTAAATATAATTTAAAGTGACTATTTAATACTACTTTAGAAACATTTAGGTGAATGTATGTCATGTTAATTCAAGTACACATGTCTCTTTACCCAGAAGTACACAAAACACAACTGAACACTTTTATACAAAGACTTAAAAAATGAATATGTCAAGTGTGTTTTAGGAGAGACTAACTAAGTGCATATTCCGGACACAGCAACGTTGTATTTAAAGTTGCATATAGTCTTTTGTGAGAGTATTTTCTGAAATATCTGTCAACCTCTAATTGAAGATAGCTTTAGTAAACATATTTCAACAGATGTATTCAAAATAGTTAGTTTGAATAATTCATTTTGCTTAAATCCAAGTTAGAAAAATTGATTCGCAGGTCCGCTCACGCTTGTTGTGGTATTTTTTTTAGGAAGTATGAAGGCTTTTTTGTTTCAATAAGTATATCGATTTGTTGTTTGCCATGTTTTGCTGAAATACAAACGTATTGACTTTTTACATCAGTTGTTTAACTTGATCTAATATTGAGCTATAGAGTGCTGAACAGATGCAGGAAAAACTCTCTGAGTGCTACTTTAAGTCACATGGTTTTGTCAGTCGCCACAAATATTAAAGGCTTTTTAACGAGTTGAAGTGGCGTGAAATTTACTACTGATGCTAACCAAAACATTCTTTATTATTTTTTAAACTAAATATTTGTGAGTGCTTATGTATTGCTTCGATTATTTAACGTAGTTTCAAATTGTTAGGATCACATTATGTTATGTATGAGATCCCATAACCAAAATAAGAAGTATTTCATTTTTATTGTTTCTATGTGTACGTTACTCCAATGCGGACTCCTATGACATGTCCATCCCTAATATTTATTTTATTTATTTATTTTAACACATAGATATTGGTACAAGGAGGCACCAAATACATATGCGCCACACAAATCTCATTCGATATGTGTGAGGGCTGTGATACTGCCCGGGTGCCCAAACCGAAGCAGGTGGTTTTCTTAGAGGGCCACTCCCCGAGCCTTCGACCTGATTGTCTGATCCACAAGGGAGTGGAGCATCGTAAGGAGATGCAGTCCCATGGTAACCGGTGACCAACAATTGGTTCATACGCCATTTAATCCCTCAGGATCCTGGAGCCCATGTGCACTATTGTTTTGGAATCCGGTTAAAGCGCCGAACATTCGCTTTTCGTCCTCTCATTTTCGTAAACAACACCCCCGCCACGAGAAGGCAGCGAGTAGGACTTCCCTGGCAGTGGCTGTATACGCGTGGCCGTGTGACAGCATTTCGAGAGGGAGGGTGGGCCCACCCCACTCTCGGCCATGCCAGGGCATTTGGGGGCCCATCCCTAATATCCAAATAAAAATGGATTCTCCGCATTTCTATGACTTTCAAAACATATCTTTCAATCACAAACAATCTAGGTTACCAATGTTGAATTTTTATTTATTTGCCTTTTTTTTTCTTTATTAGTTGTCTTGTCCAAATTGTTTTTGGTCTGTCAATTTTCTTTTTAGTCAATTCATTTTCCGAAGTGTTACCTACTTTTGGTGTTTACTTGCGTAAAGTTTGTGAAGATGCACCTCACCTCATCCACTTTGTCACGTACTACAATAGTTTACGAGCAATCATCCCGATAATAGATGTCGTTATAGCTAGCTTACCGTGCATGGATGCTATGTGTTGTTACTTATCAGGTAAATAAACTGCTATATCGAGTGTACTTTTTCCTACCTTTTATACACAGCGTAATTTTTTGTATTTTTAAAACTGCTCCACCGTATGCTTACAGAGAAATATTATTGTCTAGGCTGAAATTTTGATGTGATGCCAAAGCTCGGGAAAGTAAAGCTAAATTTAGGAAAAAATAATTTCTTCCTTCCAATATTGACTCACTGTTCATACTTTCTAGATCCACATATCCTTCCTTCTTTAATACACATTGCTTGTGGTTGTCAAAAACAAAAGTCTGAACTACCTTTGGTTCGTGGAATTTTGGCCGATTTAAATGTATTATATAAAGATATCATCAAATCAATCAGTTCATGTTTAGAAGTAAGATAAATAATTTTTTATTTTCAAACTTAAATTATTAATTCCATCTTAATTTTAAGTAGAAAATTAAATTCATAATATTAGTCATTGGGAAGAAAACAGTTCAGCTAAATTGTAACTTCTTAGTGAAGATAATGCTAGTTTTAACCTCTGGTTGTAAACGAAGTTAGTGTTTTTCTGTATACATGAACTTTAGAACTAGATTTATTTAATTATTATTTATTTGAACACATAAATATTGGTACAAAGGGGCACCAAACACATATGCGCCACACAAGTCACTTGATTTGTGTGTGGGCTGTGATACTGCCCGGGTGCGCAGACCGAAGCAGGTAATTTTTTTAGGGGGCCTCACTCGGAGCCTTCGACCTAAAGGTATGATCCACAAGACAATGGAGCAACATCAGGAGATGCAGTTGCGTGGTAGCCGGTGACCAACAATTGGTTCACACACCACTTTTACCTCAGGATTCTCGAGCCCATGTGCACCATTGGTTTGGAATCAGGGTTTCCCAACTCCATTAGGTGGATTCTCCATATCCACCAACCCAGTTGAAGCGCTGGACATTCACTTTTCGTCCTCTCAATTTCGTAAAGAACACCCTTGCCACAAGAAGGCAGTGAGTAGGACTTCCCTGACAGTGGCTGTATACGCGTGGCCATGTGAGAGCATTTCGAAACGGAGAGCTGACTCCTCACTCTCGGCCGTACTTTTTGGGGGTTATTAATATTACTACTTGGCTTTGTATTTGTGTGAACCTTAGTGATGTATCAGTTTTTATTTGGATCGAAGCAGTGATCATACATTCTTGTCAAGACTTTTCAATCGAATTGTATTGACTGAATCAAAGAAATACTGCTGACTATTAGATTGTATTGGTCCCCAACTACGAGGAGGGAGTCCGTTTTCTCTTTCAAAATGCTCTCATATAGCCGCGTGTATATAGGCAATCCTAGGGAATTCTTCCCAGCTGTATCTGCTACCTTGATGTAGTGGTTAAGCTTGCCTATCGTGATGACACCCGAGATATATTGATTGGAACACATGTTCCTTAAGGTACTACATTGCAAAACGGATTGGTTGGAGAATAGTAAGTGTAAAATCAGCAACTTGCGATCCGAGGGCGAAGTCATACTCCTCACTGTAGATGGTTGTGGCAGCAGTAAGGTGTTTCCTTCGGACAACCAGCATCTGCAGTGATGTTACTTTTTCACAGTGAAAGGAAGGGGTTCGAAGAGGTCGACCATAAAAATGTCACATCTAATCTTACTCAATGGATTTTTGCATCCTGCAGTAAGACCTTTTGAAGTGCGAGTCTAGTACAAAAAACCACCCGTAAAGAAGCTGTGCGCGACCGGCGTCATGCAATTGTCCTTTGGGCTCTTCAGTCACACTCACAAGTCGCTAAGACCACCACTAATTGAGCTCTTTTAGGTCCCTCAAGAAGAAATATTCTTCCAAGGTTTGTGCAACTGGGAAGTGAAAACCGCCCTCACACCTCTATTAACACTCGAAGTCATCTTGCTGACTGACTGAGGAAAATCCTACTCACTATCTTCTCGTGACGACGGTATTTACGAAAGTGAGAGGAGGAAAAGTGAGTGTCTGACCCCTAAAGCGTGTTAGTGGGTACGGAGAACACAGGTAGGGGAGTTTGAAAACGCCAATTTCAAACCAATGTTGCACGTGGTTCCTATGATCCTGAAGGATCGAATTTGCATATAAAACTATTCTTTACCCTCAGCTACCATATGACTTCATTTTTTAACGTTGTTTAACTGCTGGTTCAATGATTTATTGTGTGAAGCATATATATTTTAGTGCTCCTTCGTACCAACATATATTTGCTTAAATAAGTAAATATTGATAGAGGTGCTTTTTTGACTAATAACTATAATCTTGAATGATGCTGCTTCCCCAAAAACGTAAGACTGATGGTGGATGGGACATTATTTCACTTCACAGACTTATGAAGTACCGTAGGTTGGGTTCAAAATGTGTTGGAAAATAACTACCCACAAAATGGTCGTGTTTAATCGACCTAGAACAGTTATCCTTTGGACTGTGTGGTCGTTTTTAGGTTGTCTAAACATGACAATACCAGTCCGGTTTCTTTCCTAGTTTTCAGCGTTTGTAGCTGAAAAATATCAGTCACCTGCATGCTCTTGCATTCTGGTTTGATGTTAGATTGTAACTCTTCCGTATTTTTAAAATCTCTTCGCACAGTTATTTGTATTTTCAATTACCCGCTCCAATAATTAATCAGATAGCTTAAGCCGCTACAGATATTGGATTCTACATTGTTCCATTTAAATTGAGTTCATGAGAATAGCTAAATCTAATTACTCAATACACAAACAGTACATATATTACACTGTCTGTACTTTTTTTATGCAGCTTACATTGTAAGTTAATCTTTGTCTCGTGCATAAATCTCACTATGTATCAATAAGTTTGTATATTACTGACTACATTTATGAATTTATTTTTTTATCAATAGACAATGGATGATTCAAACATAGCACCGTTAACTACAGGTGAATTACAATGGCTGGCAAACTTAGAAAGTGATGATCAATTTGGATTTCGTGAAGCGTTTGTAAATTGTTGTTTAAATGATGGAGATTCTGAAACTAAAGCTTGTCTTATTTCTGTATGTAATCGGCTAAAGTTACCGAAGATTTTGGAATCAGTAACGACAGATGGTTAAATGTCAGAATGAAATGTTTTAAAACACACATTCTGAGCTAAAAACGACGAGTGGGAAATGAGGAAAAATTTAACACCAACAGATTTTATGAGATCAAAATATCAGCCAAACTTAATTTGCCTTTGTAGATTTTCTATTATTTGATTAAAAAAACTCGTAACACTAATTGTTGCCTTGTTAGTATTTAACCTCAAGTCAGAAAACATCAGTCAGCTACAACGCAGGACCAGGCACATATATGCATCGGTCTAAGTTGCCACACCTTATTCATTAGCACAACAAGATGAACACCGAATTCATAGAAGTAGTTAATTCAATGGTAGTAATATATAAAAGAAAGATTACATATATGGACATAGTACAGGAAGAAAGAATTATTTGGTAGAAAGAAAAATATAAAGAAATATTAATCTCATAGTTTAATGGAAGACAGAGTGTATACACCTACGCAATTGTGATCGATTCTGAGCCATGTCACACACAGTCTCCAACTATTGGTTACGATAGTCGCGCTGACCCCAACCAAGTAGTTGGCATCTACCAACGTGGCTCAGGTTAGAAGTTAGTGACTTTGTGGACTGATACCACGTTTTGGTTTGGCCACCCCCAACTTTCTTCCAACCATCCCCAACACTAATCAGCATTGTGCGTTGTAGTACTTGGTGTTCATGCATACGTAACACGTGGTCCAACCATCTCAGTCGATGAAGATTCACAACCTCATCAACTGACTTACCATCATTCCCTAATACACTGTGTCTAACCTCACCATTACTTACCCTGTGATCCCAGCAGATGTGAGCAATATTTCTGAGACATCTGTGGTCAGATACTAGTAGCTTACGAGTATCTTCTGATCTTGAAGGCCATGTTTCGCAGGTGTAAAGTAGGACAGAACGAACTACCGCACATTATACTCATCCCTTAATTGGTAGACGGATATCTGGCCTTCGCCATAGGTGATGTAAGTTGGCAAAAGCCAAATGGACTTTTTGAATCCGTGCTGAGATTTCATTCAGAAAAATAGATATATACTTTGTACTTGCAACTTTGTATATATGCGGTCAAGTATTTCAGCCATGTCCATTATGGTCTTTTGTGGAGGATGGGGAAACTTTGCTAGTTAGAGATAATTAAGTGAACATTTCTTACCGATATCATATTCTTTGAACTTCCGGTAAAAGTCAACTTGAAGTAGGTGATAATAATGCCGCTCAAAATGAGAGTGATAACTTTGCTACTAAAAAATTCCATCATTTTGAAGTTTTATAAGATAATCATGTAGAGAAGCATCTACTTGAGTAAATACTGTTATCTATAATTAATCAATAGGAAGGGATTGTTAATCATGTTAGATATTTTGATTAGAGGTAATTGGGACTTGCGAAGCCCATAGTGTTGATATACATATTCGCTCATTATTATATAGATTTAGACCGATTGTTTTGTATCACATATTCTTCATCTTTTCCTACTTGTTTATTGTTTTCATTTGTTTTTTCCCTCTTGTAGCGTTATGGTATGTGACCATTAAAACTGATATTTAGTGATAGGTCCCACGTTGCTCCTGTCTGTTTTCGTTTCTGAACTTAATCAACCTTTGGGTGAATGCAAGAGGCACTTGCGTAGACTGTCCTATTAAGCGTTTTTAGATCCGCGATGGTTACAGTCAATCGTTACAACACCATTCTAGATATCACGGAAACTGAACTTTTTAGGGGAAATGGAATTGAGTCACTGTCCACGTATGCACATGTTTGTAGAGTTAATTAAAATTTTGATAGGTAAAAGACCATGTGTAACGATTTTTCTTCAAGCTTTTTTCAAGATGTTCGACGAGTTATTGAGCTGTATGAATGATACGGTGATAGTTACAATCAATCTAAATAGCTCCAATCGACTACGTTTACTTCATAACACCCATTCTTCCACTGATCTATATGTATGTGTGAAGACAACATTTGGTTTACTAATTTAAAGATATGTCATTACTTGGTATGTATTTCCAATTAAAAAATAAATACACTGACAAGTCAACTATGGGAAATTTAACTGAGAAAATCTGATACTCAATATCTCAGTTGATTTTTATAGTCCGTCTTCAGACTGTTCTTGACATTGATTCAGCAATGGTTGTGCCTGATCATTTGGTAGGGACATATTCCAAATTAAACCCATAGCTAATTTGGTGTAACTGGCCAGAAGGTTTCAGAACAGAAAATCGATATTGGAAGCCTCTTCTTTGTTCAAGCCATAGAAAAAGATAAACGTCATTGATGAGTGCAGATTCATTTCATCGCTCAAGCACGAAACAAATCTTTTTCACTATCATCCACTAGTTTGCTAATGAAAGACCACACTAAGTTGATACCAGACTAAATATTAAACTGATCTCATACAAATAAGAGATCACATTCAATTAAGACAAAACGAAGTGTCATAGTGAATGGAGTGCCACATGGAATTATCAAATGGCCTCATACATGATGTTTTTCCCGATATTTCCTTGGTTGAATACATGAAAGTGGTCCGTCTGCTGCTGATAAACTTGGTCAGTTGTTGTCCTTCGTCATTACGACCGGTTGATTTCTATTAGTCCAGTTTTGAAACAAATTAGTTAGTTGGATTGTTCAAAGCATATGACACAAAGAACAGGAATTCTCGATAGCGTCACTTTTTTTCTCACCGACGAACAACCTGAAATCCTGATATGGAACACTGACTTCAGGAGTTTGGAACTACACTGATACCAGGCTTCGAGTATTTCGTACTCGTGATATGTCATAAGCATCTAACCGATTAACGATAAAGTGGATCATAATGGAGGTTTAAATAAAACAGTACATTTATTTGGCAATCATTTTTAACTAGATGCATAGAGGTCGTGTATAGGCAGTTTAGAATGTATGGTGGAATACTGAATGAAATACTTCAAATCCTAGTGCAGATCGCTATTTTATAATAATAAATGTTTAGGTTTGAAAGAATCACTTATTCTGTTAGCACGTATGTGACGTAAGTTTTTCTTAGGACAAAATAGTAGTGTATCTGGCTAAATCTTTCTTCAGATAGAAGACTGTCGATATAAATGTAACTGATATTCATGGAATCGTTTACTGGTAACTTTTATTGTCATTTAAATAAGATTTATCTACAAATGATGTAGAGTTAAGTAATGTATACTTGTAAGTCGCATTCATTCAGCTTTGATTAGCAATAGTATATTAGTATATTAAATGTCTTACATTACTACTTGACAGGTTGAAATGTTTTGGATTAGATAATATCGACTGTAGTATGTTATCTGTTGGTAAGGAAAAAATGTCTCCTTTCCAACTGATACTGCTGCTTACCAATTACTGTATATACGATCAATTTTCCCTTATTAACCTGCAACATAGTTCTTCTGTTTTGAGAAAGCTTCATATGATTGTGTACGATTCGACTGAAATGAGAGTGAGGGACTTCTAGAGACAGACTTATTTAAGACCTTAATAAAATTCCTATAATATTTCAACAAGATTATTTCTGTGTGTATTTATTTTATAGAGATCAGTAGTTAAATTCTTAGTGAACCATAGACCAGTTAACTCAATTTAAGTTAATCAATAACTTGTCACCAGAAATCAATCAATCAAAAGGGTGAAAATAAAAATTTCATAGTTACCGATGCTAATTTAATCTTAACATTTGTTATATAAAGTCTTGGTTCTGGAAACAACTATTATTTAATACTCATTGATTTTCTTTGCTAATTTACCAGCTAGTGCGAATTTACTGTTAAAATCATTCAAAGTTTTTATGAAACAAACCAAATCAACGGTACTTTAACTTACAGAAATGAAATGTTAAAATACTATTAATAAATATCATTTTCTCCTAATGTGTTGTTACAACTAGTTTTATGGTATACTGATTATTATGAACTGGCTATACATAAGTTGGAGCAGAATGTCAACTGAACTGCATGAACGTTTTGTACTGCGCTTATCAGATAGAAGCTTATGAAAATATCACACTTGTACTTTATATAATTAGTCCATACAATTTTGGTTATACAAATTAGGAGTAGGTTGTCATTAGTTCATTAACTGACTCAAAGTTCAATCTTGTTAAAAGATAATTTCTGAGTAAAACGTTTTAACAAGACATTGTTTAATCCTATCAATCACGAGTCAGAAGTGTGGATCATTTTGAACAGTGTCAAGCATACTTCAACAGAAGTAAACGTTCTTTTGAGTTAATTGAGACCCTAAAATTCATAGATGTATCTTTATTTCAATTGGACATAAATTTTACAGTATCGATTAGGCTTGTATTTATCACTTTTACGGAAAATTTTAAAATATTTACAGAGCCAATTATCTTGATCTTGAATTAGTGTCAGAGTCTTTTGTTTTATTTAATTCATTTTAAAGTATGACGATAGATTAACATGAATGAAGTGACAATGTTTTTGTTACTTTAGAAACATAATCAATTGCAAATGAATTTCAAATTATGTAATATTTTTTATTTGGCTTATTAAAGAAACACACCTAAAATTAATTGAATATTACGCTTACATACGAAATAATCTACTTTATAAAAAAAAGAAAGTACAAGCCATATGAATGAAATACATTTTAATTTATCAGTTACTATACCAACTGATCATTTAGTTTCAACAAATAACTTTCTAAAATGGTTTCATTAATTTTGTTGTTAGATTACTCCTTTTAAACATAATTCCACAAATATTGTATGATTATGACCCATTGATTGTTTGTTAGTATTTTATGGAACATGTTTGTTTTTACTGAGATCAAAAAGATGATAGATTATCAAGATCCACTAATATATATATGACTTTTTCTTATGTAGTTAAACTGACCAATAAGATATGATTCAATTACTCGATTTCAATTGGTTAATTTGACTCAATTTATGGCATTTCTATAAACGGATGCATATAGTTACTAAGTACATATTTATCATTTGTTCTATATTTAATAAATTAAACAATTATTATTTTGATCGGTGAAAAGAATAAACAACATGACTGGATCTACAAAACCGGATCTTGATCGTTTAGGTTATTTTAGAGAAATGTCTTATGTTACAATCGGTGATCCATATACTGATCTAGGAAAATTTGTTTTCAATGAAGATTCTTGTAAAGGTCGA